CGATGATTATTAATTTAACTACTAACGTGATTAATAGCTGTAATAACTATAACAGCCATGTTCAATAATTACTGTACTGTACTTAACGAATGAGCCTTGCTTTGCTTTTTGTTACAGGCGGCTCGTGCCTCTCGCGCGAGGAGGAATGTAGGACGCGCGAGCCAGCATAATGCACGCGCGCGTGCGCGTGGCCGCTCGTACGTGTGTGTGTGTGTGTGTGTGCGCCTTCTACTTTCACGGGAGAAATAATTGTCTCGGTGGTATCACGAGCGGCGGATTAAATCATCCCTCCAAAGTGGTAATTCAGACATTCCGCGGGCATTCCGTGATATCGAGTCGCGCGAATGCGAAACCAAAGGCGAGCAACCGCACGGCAACCGGAGTGGATAGCGGTAAAAGCTCTCGCTTACCGGAAGCGCCGCTTTGTATTTTCAAGCACCTCGCTCGTGAAACGAAAAAGCAACAGCATTCGTACACCGCTCCGTTCTCATGCTCGGTTCTTTTTCTCCGTGCGTCTATGTGTGTATGTATATGTGCGTGTGTGTGCGTCTCCTAACGTCGGCGGGAGGACCGGAGAAGAAAAACCGAAGAAGAGGAAGAAAAGGAGGAAGAAGGCGGGAGTGGGAGACAAATAATGCCGAAGCGTTACAGGCGGGCCTGACTCTTTGCTCGGCCCGTACACCTAATGTTGGGTGAGCAAAGTTTCAGGTGTGTTTGTGACGTTGTACCTTCGCGACCCTGTCGTACCTCGGGAGAAGAGGGAAAGGGAGAAGAGTAAGAAAGGAAGAAAGAAGGGAAGACGGCGGAGAGGGGAGGGGAGGAGGAAACGGACTGGTGCGCGCGAGGTTTTTACACACGAATCGAGCCCGGTGTGTCTCTTGACAGTACTCTTACGCCTGAAATTTGCTTTTTACCTGGCCTGCGCGCTCTCTTACTTGGAGAAAATAAAGGTGAGCAAAGTTTCAGGTGTGTGAGTGCGTTAAATTCCTCGTGCACCTTCGGCCGCAGATACAACGCGCACGTTCTTTCACGCACACGCACGCACGCGCGCACACACACACACACACACATACGAGCGAGAGTGTTGTGAACGTTTATTACAGCGCGGTATGCGCTACACACATAGTCCAAGCCCAATTCGCAATGGTTACCGAAGACAATTCGCAATGGCTGCTAATTAAAGTCATTGTAATTTCACAACAGCGCGGAACAAAAAGATGTATGTACATCGATTGTTTCGCGACAATACGACGGCGTTGTTCAATAAATGATTTCGAATAATAGTATCCACCGCCCGTCCGTTCACTCGCGCGCGCGCGCGCGACAACCGCGCCGCCGGGGGTCAAGCGAATTAATTAATTAAATCGCGCAATGCGAACTTTATTATGCGATAATTAGCCGCCGTTGTTTATTCGAATGTTACCGATGCTGTCGGCCGCTGTCGATAGCCCGCGCGCGCCAACAATTCATACATATATTTAAGGAAAGATTAATCGAGATTCAATCTTTATCGACGTTTTCGTGAATAAATAGTTACTCGCCCGAGCTCTGTTGCGAACAACTGTTGAATCGCCGGCGAAATATTTGTCAGGCGGAAGTTAATGAAGAATGCACGAATTTGCTGCGGACGGTAACGATTATATAAAAATCAGCGTTTCCTTCCCCCCCCCCC